TTTCCCTACTATTATTATTCCATTTTGCCATTAAAATGGAGGTGTAAAAGGGATGAAAAGGAGGATGAAAGGAAAATGGAAGTTTTAATTTTCAAATTGAATCAAAAATGGATTTTTAAAAAATTGGGAATTTTTTAAGTCTTGAATAAAGCTTAGCTTACACATTTTCACTTAAAAAAATGTCAGCTGTCTCTAGAAATAATAAATTATGAAGAAAAATCTTAACTCACTTGAATAATCCAAAGTTTCTCCAAACTCATTTGCCATAAACTGGGAGCAGGAAGAGGAATCATAAATCTGTTTCCTTGACTGACTGTATGTCTCATCTTTAGTGAGAGAGGGCTCCTTAGCTGCTGGAGTTTGCCTTTCTGACATCCAGGAATTGTAGCTGAGAGAAAATTCAGAGTCACCTATAAGAGAGGCAGCTGTAAATGTTTATAATTCACTGTAAGGAAAGGGTTTAAAGAACTAGTTGCAGTAGTACATTTTTAAGGAAGTAAGAACACTCAATCACAAGAGCTTCCTCAAATGGTTGATGGCTAGAAGTTGGAATTCCCAATATTTTTTTTTTTAATATAGGGGAAATATGCAGAATAAGAAAAAAAAATGCATAACATTCAACAAAGTAAGGCTATGAAACATTTAAGGTAGAAACATCAATTGATAAATGGGTAAAACAACACTGAATAAGTCTCACCCTCATGGAGAAAGATATTTTTGTCTTCTATTGCTACTGGTTCAATTTACTCTTCAAAACTCTAGTTACATTTTTCCCCCTTGCATTGCTAATCTAAGCAGAGTGCCTGCACAAATCCTGTGACAATAGTTACCGACTTGCAAGGTTCCTAACATTAACAGACTATACCATCACAGGTTCCAACAAGGAACATAATTACTATACTTACAACAAGCACTTACCATAGTTACAGCTCTGACTGGTATCTAGTTTACCACATCCATCAATCCAAGGTTCTTCCATATGAGAAGAATCCATATCACTAAGGACTGTGCTGTTGAGCCATGAATGCGAGGCACTGAGATTAAACAGACTAGCAAGAGAACGATCCCGGATTTTCTTCCTTCTCCTGAATATCCTGGGAAGGAAAGAAACTATACATTTAAAAGGGACTTGGTAAATTAGTTTTATTTATTAAAAAAGAACATTGTCTAGAGGTTTGCATATGGAATGAAAAGGGTCAGGAATCTTGCATGCAGCATCACTTTAAATAATGTGGCTACTTGTTGCAGGGCACTAGGGTGTCCTGCTCCTTTTAAGGGCTGGAACTGCTAGGGAGAGAGCCCTAGCAGTCAGTTGAGAGTCCCAGATGCTGGTTACCAGGGCAGCCAGAATGAGTTAGTTGGCCCACGCCTGCCAGTGGTCAGCTGACCGGAAGGGGCAGGGCCTGGCTCATATATAAACCCCAGGGCTGAGGCCAGAAAGGCAGTTCTCTGCCAGCAGCCAAGGGGGAAGGAGCTCTCCCAGAGCAAGCAAAGGGGAGAGGCCTGGCTGCAAGTGCAGCTTCTGGTACTGTTGAGGGACAGCATGCTCTGTGTGACTTGAATTATGTCATAGCCGGGCAGCTTGAGTTATGTTATAGTCTTGGGGCTTGCATGTTGATTTCTGTTTATAACACCGATGGTTTGGGTGAGACTATCTGGGGAAGGAAGAGGCCTCACTGGGGGCCCACTGCAGTGTGGGGATCCGAGTGCCAGAGAGGGCACGGCGTTTGAGGCACACAGGCCCCAGTGCCAGTGAGGCGCAGAGTGAGACAGGGCTGTGGAGAGCCCAGGGAGGACAAGGGGGCCAAATTACAACAAGGCCTAGACCAGACAACGTCGGTACCATCTGTGAGGCTTGGGGCGTGGTAAAGGGGCGGTTGGAGCCATGCATATAGCCCATAGGGCCGGGGTGTCCTGGGACACCTGTTTTGAAATGGGACCCACGGGGTTCAAGGAAATCTATCAAGACCATGTCCAACAGGATGTGAAGGCAGCCTCCCTATACTACAAAAATCCATCAAAACGTGGCAGGCAAAAATAGAGGGTGTCCATCGGACCGAATTGTCATGGTCAAGGGGCCTTAGGGGTAACACAGCCACCCTTAGAGACCCCATCCCGTGACACTACTTCTAGTTTGGAAGCCAGCCTGCATGGGTTAAATATATATATAAACGCTAGGGCTGTGCGAAGCTTCAGTCCTTGATTTGATTCGGTGGAGATTTGGCCCAATTCAGTGGCTGAATCTCCAAATCTGAATCAAATCAGGAGACCCTTTAATCTCTCCAAATCAAATCGGAACCCTCTGAATCGATTCAGAGAGATTCAGTGATTCGGACGTAGACGTGGCTTTAAATGTTTTTTCTACATACCTCTAGGTAGCAGGCGGCTCGTGAACGCTGAGATGCTGGGGCACATGGAGTGTCCCACAGAAGCGCTGGGGGCTCCCCAGCGCACTTGGAAGCAGACCCAGAAGTGGATCAGAAGCACTTACAGTCCACTTCCGGGTCTGCTGCACCCCCCGGCTTGGTGACTGGGTCTGGGGAAGGGGGGGGTACCTGGGGTCCCCCCGTGGCCGATCACTGAGCTGGGTGGGTGCAGGGGCACCCCCAGCGTGCTCTCCAGCAGACCCAGAAGTGGACCGGACATACTTCCAGGTTTGCCGCCAGGCACTTGGAGGGCCCACTCCTGTGGGATGCTCCATCCGCCCCCAGTATTGTAGCGTTCACAAGCCCCGCTGGTACCTCGAGGTACGTAGAAAAAACATGTAAAGCTGTGTCTATGTCCAAATTGCTGATTCTCCGCATCAGCATTGAATCATCAGGTTAGGATTCGGCCGAATCAAATCAGGACAGTGATCCAAATCAGTGAATCAAATCACTGTCCCCGATTTGGGCTGAATCCAAATCGAATAGGACCTGCTTTGCACACCCCTAATAAGCACTACACTCATGCCAGAGAGACACACATTACCTTTCCCTATGGAAGTTTCCCACTTTTAAAATGGATCCAAAAATGCTTGCCACTTTCTCTGGGGTGTTGCAATTAATTAATTGTTTCAAAACTGCATTTGGATCCTCAGATGAACAATATTAGCTACAATGACATTATAGAACTGGAACTTGGTCAGGTAACACTTCAGTTGAAGAAAAATGAAAGTCTTGCTTGGATAAAGATTTCAGGACAGTATTTTTAAATTTCTGTCTACTTTCTGTTTCGGTAATGATCCTTGAAAGCATGAAAATATTCTCTCTCTCTCTCTAGACTTTCTTCCTTTGGCAAATTGTGTATTTTGGTGTCTTTCTGAAAACAGAAGCTTTTTGTTTATTCTCTAGCATTTTTATTGCATTAGTAGGAAGGTGCATACCCAGAGCAACAGCTCAGGACATTTTCAATCACAACTGAGCATCAAAGATATGTGTTACATACTTATTTGGTATGGCTATGCCAAAAATGGCTCAAGGATTACTCTCAATCTTTCAAGCTGTAGCAGTGAAATAGTGAAAATGAAAGGGGTTATGTAGACTCAGGTGGACGTTTCACATCAAATAATATGTTTTCTAGTAAGCATCATTTGGGGCCTTCACTATGCACAATAGGTTCAATTTATTGGACCAAATACTGTAATTATATTCAGTTTTTGCTCAGGCCTTACTTAAGCAACACTCATATTGACTCTCTGAAAATTACGTGTTCACCACATTTTAGCATAGAAATTACTGTATTTTGTAGGTTAGCCAAACCCGCAAATCTCGTTCCTTAAAATATTAACATTATTATACCCACTTAGGCGCTCTATTATTTTTCTGTGCACAACACTTTTGGAAAACTAAGTAAATAAGAAGCAGCAAGGCATGAAAAGCAGTAAATTTTTGAGTAGTTCTATTTTTATTTTATATTTACTGTCAGTAATATCTGTGTGGTTACTTTTTGGCAACGTTAAAGGCATGACTATGAGAGTCAAGTGTCTTCAACCACTATAATTTTTGTGAATTACTCTGGTTGGAGGGTTCTGTTGCAGTTGTAAAAATGGAAATGTTGTGTGTAAAAATAAAGAAGAGAGTCAAATATAATAGATCATTATAAATATATTCTGACAATCAACCAGAAGGCTCCAGCTGAGCTCAGAATTGGAGCCAATTTCCAATATTAAAGACGTGTAGTTCACTTACCTCACTAAGTTTTCCTTGTAGGTTACACTTGTCTGCGATGGAGTCAATGTTACGTTGCCATCTTCATCTGCCAGAAAACTGTCTTCAGTCAAAATGTAATAGCCATTAGCGAGAAGCCGAGGACTCCGGCGACACGTGAAGAAAGAGCCGGTCAAGGGGTTTATTGAACAACACTCATAGGACGTTTCATTATCCAGAAAGCTATAAGCATAATTGAGAAGGAAAGAAAACAAATTTAGGTGAGTGAATGCCTACATAGTGCAAGGCCACAATTCAATGATAGATCCCAGAAGTGATACAGTTTAAAAAGAATTTTGACCAAAGAAAAAGAGGATGATATTAAATTACCTGGAGTACTCATGTACCACTGCCCACTCTTGGATTTAATTACAGCATCTGTGTTGCATCCCCTATGTTGCAATCACACAATGGAAATTCTACTTTAGCTCACGGATCCAACAGTATCTGAGTTATATATATATTTCTACTACAACTGTGAAGTTCCAAGTGGCCACGGAGAGCAGCATATGCATTAAGTGCAAGGTGGTCATGGTTTTAGGCTAGTATTGGCACCTCAGTCTTAAATGGGAATTAAAAAGAGTGATTTTCAAACACAAAGGTAAAATTAAATGGAACAAAGATCTTTTTACTCAGTACCTTGGCCAAATGTGTCCAGGGGACACTCTTTGCCCGTGCTCTTCTTGATCAGACTCTGAAGAACCTGTTGGGATAAAGACCAGATAAGGAGAAATCCCAGCAGAAGTGTGTTTACATAGGCATGTCCAGTGATAGCCAGACTAGCTGACTGGTTTTCACTTTTAATATGCCTTAGAGCAGTGATTCCTACTTAGGCTTCTGGGGCACCCTGGACTGCCGCCAGATCCTTTGAAGAGTCCTGCAAGCTAAAAGGAGTTAAGTGAGGTCAGAGGAGATAGACAGACAGATAAACTAAGCAGATAAGCCAGACTTAGGCTTGTCGCTGTCTGCACAATCTCCCACCCCTACTGTCCAGACCCCTGTGTAAGGAGGAAAGGTATATAAACTAGATTTTGAAATTGGGTGCCACTCAATTCACAAAAATTAGGGAGAGTTGTCTCGAGTCCTGTGAAGGATGTCTCGAGTCCAAAAAGGTTAAGAACTACTGCCTTAAAGAAAGTTAAAGGAGTAAAAAAGAGGAAAAAAAATAGGAAAGGAAAAGAGACCTAAGGAGAGAAATCAGAATGACTGTGGATAGATAAAATAAATGAATCCTAATGCAAATTAGACTTGGATTGCATCATTTCAACAAAAGCGGCAGAAATTCAAGACATGTATAGCTCATGCCTGCCAGTACTACTGCTTTGCACACTTTAATGTCTTGTGGGAAGAAAAATCCAGGCTTACACAAAGCAAGAGGTACACTTTAATGGTGTAATTTTGGATTCACTGTGAACAGCATATGCACTGATTCATATGAACAATAGTGTTGGAGTTTTCTGATTGTGATTTCTCGGTGGCATTAAAGAGACACACTATTGACACTACATGGTGTATCATGCAAGGGACATCTGCAGATGTGGCACGGCATGAGCAAGGATGCTGATAATGGCAAACATTTAAGAATAATGATCACAGGAGATTGTGGAACTAGGATCAACTCCCACTCGGGTAGTGCAAACCCCCAAAGCATTAAGGTCAGCATCTCATGCTGAAGTTATGCAAGGCATTCATCAATGGAAAGAAATAGGTCTAAAATGGGGTTTAAGTTTACTGGACAAGATGAAGCAAAGGAAAGATCAGAACATTTTGGGATGGCAGCTGGCAGAAGCTTCCATTAGTATAGCAACTAGACTACAGGGGTACTGCCAAAACATCAGTCAGCTATTTATACAGACATGTGTCAGAGGCATGTTGTTCAGAATTCAGTTTTACACATCAATTTGTATTTTATGCATATTAACAGCTACTGAAGTACTCTTTCCTCTACTGGTTTTATTTTAAAAAATGACGACTTTTCAACCAATGGGAAAAACTTACTTTCAAAGGAGGAAATGCATATTCATTCGAAAGGGCAACCTCTGTTGTAAAAAGAGTACATATCCTGACAGGTGCTTATTAGATCTCAGTAATAACTCAAAATATAAAATCTAAGTCAGTAAGCCCTGGGCGGGAGGGAATCATACATTTACTTGCTGTTGGTGTTGACATTAGATGAGATATTTGATACATCTTGAAAAGGCCTATTGCATACGCTCTGGGACTCCGGGTATTTCAGATGACCTGCAAAAGCTTTTGAAAAAGAAAGTGGATATTTATTCAAAGTGAAATGCTCTAAGGTGCAATAATATATTGACAGAACACAACTGTATACGATATACTCCACTGATGTGAATTTACAACTCTTTCTTAGGTGAAACTCATTAATTTCCATGCCAAATCTGGTTGAATAAGGAGTGCAGAACCAGGCCTAAAATCTCTTTGGTCAACTGCAATCTCTATAATCTGATAATACAGCCTCTTTCATAGTATTTCAATCAATGCAATATAGTGTGCTTGGATTTATGTTTGTTCTAAATGCAGTAATGCATGTACTTTATTTTCCTCACAATATGCTATTGTCTCATTAGAACATAAAACAAGCACTTAGTGAGAAATAAAGTTTATATATAGCAGCTTACATATGAATAGTGCTTTCATTAGGAAGCATTGCAGTGCGCTATATAAAGTGATATATAGACTATGATTCCTACCGAGCAAATACATAGACATGCGATTAGCTTTACTCAGGGAAGTTATCTTAGTAAGTCTCTGGTGTTTGCAGGACTATGATAGGGATTACATCATTCAACAATGATATGCAGGAAAACTTAAAGTGGACACAACAGTTCTTTAACAGCATGAGGCACCGTTATAAATCTGCTTACAATAGGAAATGAGGGAGAAACATATGGTCACAGAAAAACCAGAAGAAATAGAATAGTCCCTATCATTTATGCATATCTTCAAGAATAGCTTAAAATCATTTGACATTTACAAAGCAATGTGTTTTGCGGTGCAATTAATTTATACAGAATGGTTTTTTCAATTTCAAATTGTATCAGGTAAAGTTAATGTCAGGTTTATAATGACATGATGGGCTTTTAACAAATAGTTCAGTAAACCAAATTGTCTGTTTACATTATTATATATAAATTATTGATTTGCAAACATTGACTCATTAGTAAAGCAGACTTTTGGCAATCATGACTAGATCAACGTCTATCATTATTTACAAACACTAGAGGAAGTATGCATGCTTTAGTGGGTTTCACTTTTCTTCATTTATTCAGAACTGAAACTCTAATGATATTAGCTACAGAACAAAATATCTTAACTTTCACTTTCCAGTTATTTTAAAGTCAAACTATTACATTTGTGATCCAAAACATCAAATGCAACATGGCCTCTAGTTCAACAGAGAACCTTTAAACTAACACATGACAAAAGATGAACTATGAACAAACAATGTATCCAAGATAAAAGCAAAATGAATGAATATCAGCAGCCTTTAATGGCAATTACTTAAATAAAATATCTATGAATCAAAAGCATTCCCCAATTCAATATTTTGGAATCACTTGAATCGGAGCATGAAAAATCCAGTCTTTCTACTCATAACACACAAATACATGCATGGTTCAAAACAATTTATTTTAATCATCACTCTCACTGACAAATTAACTAATCTGCAAACCCATGATGCCCTCAATCCATAGGTAACTAAACCTCTGTGCATGCTGCACTCTGCAGTGTAAATATTGACACTGGCATCTACCAAAACAAATCACTAGCCATTAACATTTTATGAGTCTAAATACCAATATTTTTCTCATATCTTCAAAAGATAAGAAATATCTGAGAAATAATTTACTTGTTCATGCGTGTCATTTCTTAAAACAGTATTTTACTCTCTTCTGTCTGCTGGTAGTGATGAAAGCAATCGGAAAAAAATGCAAAGTTTCTTGAAGAGTTGACCGTAAATGAAGAAATCCAGGGTTTAGCTATGTGTCAGTTCAGAGAACGATCAAAACATAAATGTGTAAAATATTCCAAACCTTAACACTCCGATTTGTTAAAAGCTAACAAACGTATGCAAAAAGTTTTTCATCACGGTGTAACTTGCTCTTTGTGCAGCTTCCTGGAACAGAATTATTCTGAAGTCTTCAGAAAGGCAGGTCTATCAAGTCCTCCGTTTCCTTTTGAAAACATACTGTGCAATCAGAACCAAAGAGGCAGAATGAGGTCATGCTTCCTGTTAAGTAGCCTCACATCAGAAGCATTCGTTCTGAAGAGCAAACTAAAGATTAAGATTAGTCCAATGAACAATCCTGCAGGGTGTTGTAAAATGCAAGATATGCTAGCTATAAATAACCATCCTTTCCCATTATATCACAGGGCATAAACACACCATCTTTTTCTATGATACTCATAAAGAAACTTGAAACAATATGTTTGTCTTGTCTATTTGTAAAACTGACAAAGATATGACTCTGAACGCTTAACAATCATATATCCAAATCACTCAATACACTTTTGTTGTACTGAGAATTTAAGGCCTTTCCTATTTCAGAATGACCTCACCTTACTGAAAAGATAGATGGATGTTAATGAGACATCTGAAAGCACTGATGCAGAGAGGAAACATCTGTACATAATTCACAGTTCAACAGCAGGTGACTATTTTTCAATAATTATGTTAAATGGATGATTATAACACAGTAATGCAAATATATACCATACTTTTACTAACTTATGTAAAGCTAAACTATGTAAATTCCTGCCCAGATACCGCAGTTGAGTGGGGCAGAGTTGGGCAGAGCCAGAAAAGCTTTTAGAAAGAGACATAGTGACTATACCTCACTGATACACAAAACCTTACGAGAAAAAAAATACTAATTTGAACTGTGAGGATAAATTTGGTCTGTATAAATCTTGCAAATCAGAATGATTTGGTTTACAATAGTTTCCATGGGAAATGTTAGAAACCCTATCACATGGGATAAGTAAAATTAGGTTGTTGTAGGGATTAAGGCCACCTCCGACTAAGTGCTAATACACTAAAGCGCAGTAAAATTAAGCTACTGCGCATTGTCACTAAAAGAGTGAGTGCTTTCACTATTGCACATTAGGGCAGCCTAATGCACATCTAGTTAATACCTCACATTAGAGTTACTAAATGTAATGCACAGTAGCAAAAGCGCATTAGTGAACATGTCGGCGCTCCCAGTAAGTAATTCTGACTTCTGTGGTTTTATGTTTCAAAGACAGGTGAATAGCGTGGCAGTATAGAGAGAAATGTGCACTTTAATAATTGACTATATTATTGTCTTGAAGAAAGGAAAAAGCTGCCTTTGTTGAATTTGCAAAGCAAAAATAGAAGCACAAGTTCTGAGTTTAAAAACAAAAAACCGAGTAGTAATCAGGCGACTGGGGTTCTGTATTGCATAACACGGCTGAAATGTTTCATTTAAAGACCTTCTACTCAAAACTGAATACAAAGGACTAAATGTTCTCTTCTGTAACTTCCTTGAAGTCACTGCTTATACCAAGTGTTACATTTAGCCCAACGTGAGCAATGCTTCCATGCTTGCATGAACTTTACAACTTACAGCAACACATCTTTTTAAAGGAAACAGAAAGCAGAAGGAACCCATTATCTATTTTAATTAGAGTGTTTCAATTCCAGATTGAGAATAAATGTCATTGCTGTAATTTTACCAAGCACATATATGTTAAAAATACAGGATAATCTGTATTAAAGGGATATTGTTATCTTACATGAAAATCACATTTATCTGAATACATTTTGCCTAGGGTTACACTGCTTCCTGGTAGCAACACCATAGTTCAAGGCTGTGTTCTAATATTGGGCAAACAGCCTGTTTTTGAGTGTATTTGAATTTTCAGAATAGTTTTGGTCTGTTTTTCTTCATTTATTTTCAATGGGGGGTTTATAAATTGTTCTCTGATTTAAAGCAGAGAGAGGTAGTGAGCCAAAAGCCATGTTAGCCTGAAGTCAGGCAGAAGGCCGGGTAGAAATGCACCTTAAAAGACTCGCTACAGATTTTCCTGGATGCGCCAAATGAAAATCTCTAAGTCAGGGGTATGAACATTTTCCTGGGACTCCTGATATCTCTCTGCTGGGCCATATCCCTCCTAATCTACCAAATAAAATAGTTTCCCCTGCTTTTGCTTAGAGTCCAGAGCCTGCCATACCACATATTCATCATGCCTCTGGACTGTGATGCACGGCAGGGGTAGCATGTTTCTTTCCAGGAAGAGTTTGTAATCTAAGTGTAACCCACACAAAAAGATACAAGCCTTGTGGTACTACAAAGATGTTCTAGTTTCAAAATATGATTATGTTTTATATGTGCTATATGTGTGTCACCCGGGTGTACACGGGTTTGTACTTCCCTCTCCAATTGAGGGAATTATTGGCAGTGCAGTGTGCTGTGGAGGGACACAACAGCCCAGTGGCCGCCTCCGTCCCCTATAGAGTCAGGTCCAGTCAATCAATATCTTAACTATATACAGATTTATTATTGCAATAAAACCATTAAAGGGTAAAGACATAGATTATATATATATGTACAAGTTTACAAAACAATAAACCCTATTGAGATATATATATCTATATCTATATCTATATCTATATAGGTTCATTAGAGGCAGGTCCTGGGTTCATTGGAGGCAGGTCCTGTCAGCCCAACCTAGTGGCCTTCTATGACCAGGTCACAAAATCCTTAGATGCAGGGGTAGCAGTGGATGTAGTCTTTCTGGACTTCAGGAAGGCCTTCGACACTGTCTCTCACCCCATTCTCATTAAAAAACTAGGGGACTGTGGCGTTGA